TCGTTAACGTGTTGGCCGTCCAGCCCCATGCACGGGGCGATCGCGGTAGCTCGTTAACGGAGATTTGCCGTGTTGTGGCGTTAAGCGTCATTTCAACGAGATTAACCTGAAGCACTAGTGGGAACAAACGAATATGACTGCACATTTACCCGACATCATCCTAGTGCAAAGACAAGTGGAAGCAGAAAAAACAACAAGCACATGCTACTAAACTTTACCGAGTCATTTAGACAGCTTAGATATGATTTTATGCTGCTGAGAATATAGCCCAGAAGAAGCGGATAGTATAGCTTTTATTTTGGAAAGAGCCATTTCTCTGTAATAAACTCTCTTTTCCAAAGATGAGTGATTCCTCAATCAGATACAGGGCTCGCAAAATCGCTAGCCCGACGTCCCGGGGCTAGCGATTTTTCCAGTCGGGCTACCAAAATCTATCTCTGCCCTGCCCGTCGGGCCTATTCGTAGGAAGGAAAAATATATGTCAATGCTTTTGCATTCTTTCGGAAATGTAGCTGGGTAATTATGTCATTGGCATCGGTGAGCCACTGTCAATATGTGACATATTGAAATCGCGTTTGAATTTGCGCTTGTTTTTTGCTTCACTTTGCAATCGGCAAACTGTGATAGAGAGCGACAGTACTGATTGGTGAGTGAGATAATTTGGCACCAATTCCTCTGACATCGTCTTATCAATCGTTAGCTTACTATGCAAACATGACAAGTGAAATCTCCCCAGCAAGCTTAAACATGTGAGAGGTTGATCGCAGCAGAGAATCGCTGAGCGTTATGTGAGTGCGTGTGTAAAAGCAGCAGGATATATATTTTAGTTCTGCTGAGCCAAATAAGACAGGTCAGGGTGAAGAAGTGACAGCCAAAGAAAAGCTTACCACAAAACTGTAAAGTTATGACAAATCAGACTATAAGGCAAAAAGAAAGTGCAGCTTTATGGTTTCATGGACAAAAGAATTTCTGTGGCTGCAATATGACAAGCTAAATAACCAGGGGTGCACATAAGTGGTCCGCAGGTGCGCATTCGCTGTCAAAATAAAAAACGCGCACAAGATAAGAAGTTGCAATGCGTGTTTGCGTACATAAGATTTTCTGGAGGAGGACAGACATTTATTTAGAACTCTTAAAGATGTCGAAGAATCAAGCTCCTTTAAGCAATTACTGTGATGTTCCTCCACCTCCAAAGAAATGTCAGGAGTCCGAACCACAAAAGAAGCACGTATTTTCGGAAAAGTAGTTGCAGGAGGTGAGCTGGCTTCAAACAAATGATGAACGCACAGAGATGTGGTGCAGAATGTGCCGTGAAAATTTAATAAATGACAAATTAAAAAGGCATGAACATTTTTTCTGTATCGAAAAAATATCGAACCGTGACACCAAAGTATCGAACCGAACCAAACCGAACCGTGAATTTTGTGTATCGTTGCACCCCTAATATATAGGTATACTATCATGCAGAACTAAAAGTCCAAGCATCTAGACTGCTCTGGCGTCTATTTACTGTTGTGCAAAAAACAGAAGGTGTAGACATTCCCAAAACTCTACATGTTAAGACCTATTACAAAAAGATTTAGTCCTTTATAGGTTCTAAAATTAATTAAAGAAAATCTCAGATGAACATCAATATGAATCAATATTTATTTGTCACAAACTAAGTGAAAAAGAAGGCGCTCTGTGGGAAAAACAAAGTAGGCCTACAGCCAGTTATTCAGTAGCCTGTAGCCTTTAGCAATAACTAAAAGGAATTGTTTTCCATGCAATTTTATCAGTTCCTCACATCGTTTTAGAGTCATTTGTACCACTTTTCTTTGTGGGTGTTTATTTATGCACAGCTTTCTTAAGGTCCTGCCACAGCATTTTAGTCAGGTTGAGGTCTGAGCTTTGATTCGACTATTGCAACATCTTGGTTCTTTTCTTTCGTTTCCTTTGTAGAGTTGCTGCTGTGCTTGAGATTTTTGTCCTGTTGCAGTCTGAGTCAAGTTTTAGTTGTTGACAGATAACAGATCGCCTCACGTTTGACCCTCGAATGCTCTGGTATACAGAAGAGCTCGCGGTTGACTCAATGACTGCAAGATGCCCAGGTCCTGTGGCTGCAAAACAAGCCCAAATTTTCAGTCCTCCGCCACTGTGCTTGACAGTTAGTATGAGGTGTTTGTGCTAACTTGCTGTGTTTGCTTTTCACCAGATGTGAGAGTACTTTGTTTTTCATGTGGCTGCATATGTGGTAGAAAATAAAGAGAAGCATAAGAGGTCCTCTTTTAAGCACCCCCATGAGGCGTCTACAAGTAAATCAATTATATATGACAACAAAAAATAATGCTCATGATATCACATTGATGTCATTGAGGTTATTTATGCTGGGAATGTGGGGTTTAAGTGCAAACTGGGTAAATTGCATTTTGGGAAGTGTAGGATCCAGAGGTTTTGAAGCCATTCGTACCACAGGGCCTTTACAGCTTTGTGTCCTGCATCTGTCATTATTTATTGACATAGCTGATAAATATAAAAACATCTGTTAGTATAAAACATCCCTTTGTATTGCATTCTTGGGGTATTTTGGGGTACTGTTTATGTCTATATAAAGCAACTGCTCACACTGAAACTGTGTTGGCAGATTCAAGCACAACTGGCTGTGATTAATTACTCATCGACTGATCAGACTCAAAGGGGAATTTGTAGTTGCTTTGGTATTTATCCTTCTGACTTTTTCCTGATAACAGATTCTTTTAGAATTGCAGAAGGAGCCTGAGGTAACAGCATGAAGCCAGGATTCATCGCCTGCACAACGGTAATGCGGGAAAAGAAATGATCAGATTCATCTGCTTTATTAATTACATAATCTAAAATTTGCACATGTTGGCACAAACACAAACAAAGAAAAGGAAGGTGTATGTCCCAAAAGAGCTGGTGAAAAAAGTGGAAGGTTTACCAACTAAGTGCATCTGAGTTATTTTTTCACAATCTCGTGAAGAGTTCTTGGAGAGATCTCCAAGTTTGTGATGAGGTCAGTAAACGCCTAGTGTACTTGGAATAGACAGCCATCAGAGGGACTGATTATTCCCAAAAATGTGGAAAACTAACATGTGTAACAAACCTCTTGCACAAGAGTACATGTCTATTTTTCTTCCAGCATTAAAGAATTACAACATGACAGCACTGGACTGCAAGTACTAATCATTATCATTTCTAAATTACTTTGTAACAGCAATCTGGTCAAACAAAATAAGTTCATGCTAGGACTTCCTGGCTGCAGAACAAAATCCATAATGTTAGTGAAAACAACAACAAGTCTCAGGGCACTTTAATGGAGTCACACCCAAGCCTGGATAGGGAGTAAAAGTGCAATTTGAGAGTCAATAATGAAAACAATCTGATCATTTATAATCTATTTAGCATTGAGGATTTTCAGCAGCTGTTGTGTCCAATACTGTGGAATATCGCTGCAGCTCAGACAAGCTCGGCTGTGTGGAGCTGAGCTCCACTGGACTGGAAAAGAGTATTTCTGTAGAAGGGTGTCTCTGCCATTTGGCACAGGCTCCTCATTACCAGCAAAAATATAGTTAAGGATGAAAAGACCTGAACAAGGCCATCAGACTGGAGACCAGGTGTTTGCCTGATAGCAGTGAGCAGCACTGTACCGATTGTTTTCACTGTGTCAAACTCTTCATCCATCAAGACTAACTTTTTAGTGAAAAAATAATAGAACACTGCTTTAAACTAATTACAATGCTGAAAGTTGTTTATTGCTAAGCTTTGTGTGACACCACAATGACAGCGATTCTCATGCTAGAGCTCAGTGATTGATTTCATTAAAACATATCACTGGAACCCAATGCTGACTCTTCCACACACAAAACTAAAAGAGTTCCTTCTGCATGCACTCCATTGCTATGGTGAGCAGCTACTGTAATTTTTTTCACTGTTTTTATTATTAGGCATGTTTCCCGGGGACAAGGTTTCAGAAATTCACAGTAGTTATACAACACAACCACAACACCATGTTAAAGCAGCGCACGCCCAATCATGCAGACACCCCGGTTTCAATAACTAAGCACTATCTTCTGTTGTCAAAGGAGCTTGCAAAGAAAAGCGTCTGGACTTCTTTAAGTTACTTGAAGACGTTTCACCTCTCATCCGAGAAGCTTCCACCAGCGAGGGAGGATAAGAAGGACAGACGCAACAACATTGTCATCCCCTATGTAGCCGGTGTATCAGAAAAACTCAGGAGGGTTTTCTCCAAGCATGACATCCAGGTGCATTTCAGACCCAGCAACACGCTCAGACAAAAACTGGTTCACCCGAAAGACGAAACGCCAAAACACAGACTTAACAATGTGGTGTATGCTGTACAGTGCAGCGAGGAATGCCCAGACCTCTACATTGGAGAGACCAAGCAGCCACTTCACAAGCGCATGGCACAACACAGAAGAGCCACCTCCACAGGACAAGACTCAGCAGTCCATCTGCATCTTAAGGATAAAGGACACTCTTTCGAGGATGCCAATGTTCACATTTTGGACAGAGAGGACAGATGGTTTGAAAGAGGAGTGAAAGAAGCCATCTATGTCCACTGTGAGCGACCATCTTTGAACAGAGGCGGTGGTTTACGACACCAACTCTCTGCCATCTATAATCCAGTTTTGAGATCCCTTCCCAGACGCCTTAACGCCCACTCACATCCTGGGCCATCTGATCTCAGGAATTCGCATGATAAGGTGGGGCCAGGTTTCACAATGAACTCACCCGAAACTCTGGCTGATTGGGACCCACACCCAATTTCACACCTTGGCTCAGGCGATTAGAGGATCATCAGGGGGTCCTTTTGTCCCTCTGTGGGGGGAAACTCCCACTAGGTTTATATCTGGGACTCTCCACCATTTGACCTTAGAACTGAAGAAGCTTCTCGGATGAGAGGTGAAACGTCTTCAAGTAACTTAAAGAAGTCCAGACGCTTTTCTTTGCAAGCTCCTTTGACTACGATGACCTGGATGACTGAGAATCTTCACAGACATACTATCTTCTGTTGTGTTTACATTTTTGATCAAACTGAAAAAGACCGTGAAATGCAGAATTAAATTATAACCAAGCTGCTTTTATCCTAAAGATCCTGGAGCAGCATGTTAACCCTCAGAGTACATTCTTACTTGTGGTTCCCACTGTTTCCGGGAGCATAATGAGAGGCAGAACCAGGCTCCAGGTTTGGGTTTGGAAGGCAGACTCTCTCTGTTCTAACATTAGGCTTCAAAATTTCCTTCTATGGCTGGATCAGGTGACTCTGATCCATTGTTTGTGCTGCATTAGGCCCATTCTGCCTGTTCTTCGTCTCTTCTGTGTCTTCCCCTCCCGAGATCAACACCTCAGCTGTTCCTCGGCTCGTTCCATAAAAGTTTATCACCTTTTTCCCTACAACCTCCTCGCATGTTGAATCTGGGTCCCGTCTTAAACCGAACCCCCTGCCAGAGCACGCTTTTTTGTTTAGCGTAAGAAATGCATAAATGTTTTATGATTCAATCCATACAGGAGCAGAAAAATGTCCCGACATGAATGTAAAAACCCAGAATCCCTGCACCCAGTATCTTCAGAGTGCCAAGTGATTTATTCCACAGGGGCTGAACATGCATTCCACATCTGCACGCTGCACTCGAGACAAATAATCAAAATCATATGATGGACAAGACCATGAAATCAAAAAGGGAATGAGCAACGAAAACAAACAACTACCACTCTCAACTTGTAGTAATACCGCACATTGGCATCGAAACCTAAATCATTCTGCACTGCAGAAGTCTGTTCAAAGTTACAAAAAGATAATAATCAGCCACATAATCATTTTTGAAAATCTCATATAAAAGGTGAGTGAGAGGGTGATGCACAATACCCATGGAGAATAGCTGATTGGGAACCATTAGAGGGTGTACAACATTTTCAAATACAGCAGGGCTTGATGTGGACTTTGTTGCACTGTAAAATCTACCCCAATGTTCCTTCTACAGAACAGGGTGTTTGCATATAAATGTGCACAAACAGTCTAAAACACCTCTCCTCACCCAAAACAAAACAAAAAGAGAGAAAAAGCTCTCTCTACTTTCTGTTTTTGCAATGAGCTCTACTCCTAATGAATACAATGCATTCATCCTGGATGGATTCTGGTCACAGCCGTGGCGGCACAGCTGCTCAGAACTGTCAGGCTTACGGGGAGCAGACAGTGGCACACTTTTTTAGTTACAATTAGACACCCTTGCATCTGCTTGAGCTTTGTGAACTCTGCACTTCAACTCTAGAGCTGATAGTCGAGGAAAACATTGCTCGATTTACTTATTTCTACTCACAGTAATACAAAGAAAACATTTCAAGCCAAAGAAAATCTGCTCGGCTAATTATTTGGACGTGACTGTTAAACAGATGGAGATTCAACTCAGATTTGGTCAGAGTCTCTGTCAGACTTGATGGTGGCTTCTTGCTCCATTGTTTTCGCGTGGACCATCTTATATGTTCTTTTCATGTCCCTCATCAGCGAGAGAGCTTCCTTATATTCTTGCTTACTGACACCTCTGCTTTGTAGGGTAGTGCCTGGACAGAAAACAGAGTGTTATTTAAAGAAAGAGGACTTTACAGGGGAAATATGTTGACATTCACTGCGTATAAGTAGGAAATGTGCATACCTAAAGGGACTACTTTTACTGTTTTACTCTCTCTGATTTCTTTGATCATGTCCTCTACCCTTTCAGTCAGCTGCTTCACAGGTTTCAGAGGTGGCAGCTCCTTAATCTGTGTGCAGTAATTAATAAAAACGTAGTTAAAGTCGCTCGGTTTATTGCAATTTACGAGCCTGCAAATGAAGTTTGCGTGGCTAAACATCAAACCCTTTTCTCTCGCTCCCTGTACGGCGTCTGGATGCTGTCGAGCTTTGGTTTCGAGTCCCTGTAAACATGGAGATTCTTCAGTGTGTGCTCCAGCATCCGAACAGCTGTTTGAATTCCTGCACAAAGAAAGGAAGAGAGAAAGAAAGCATCAGTATTCTCCACGGGCTCACTGTATAGCCAAACTTTACTGGCTTTGAAACAATTGACAAAAAAACGAAATGGCTGCAGATGAAAATACATTCCTCCTTCCTCACCATTGAGCTTGAGCACACGAGGGTTCGGTTCGACATCCATCAAGAAATCAAACTGCTTTCTCTCCTTGCTGTCTGCAGTTTCTTTGTCTTCAGGAAGAAGACTAAATTCAAACTCAGGTCCATCTGCTGCCTGAGCATGAAATAACACTGACTACGTTAAAATGCTGCGGCATTAAATAACATTTAAAAAAACTTAGTAAAATGATGGATTTTTATATCCCAATGAGGAAAACTACTGAGGAACATACCTGAGTAAGAAAGAAGGGTTTTCTTTTTTCATGGAAGGTGTGGTTTCTGCTGTTTTTGCCTGCATTTTTGCCAGCCTGGCTTTGTGGATTCAGCAGTATTAGCTTCTTTGACACCTTTGGTATTTTTTCATCCACCTCCAATATGAAAACATTGAAAACATAATGATTCATTCACTGAAATGGAACTTTACAGTGATTAATACAAAAGCAAAAAGCTTGATAACACACACCAGACTTATTTTTATCCATTTCTGAGCAATCAATCATTAAGTTGGCCTTGAAGACCTTAGTGGATGCAAATCCACTTTTAATGGATTGTTAGCATGACCCCACTCTACGCCCTTACAGAGTTTTATCAGAATTCATAAAAAACGATCAAGTTTAGAGGTAAACGCTACCAAAAATATGACCACCTTGGAGTCAATCACACGTCCTTTCTGCAAAATCACTAAACCTACTAAACCTAAGACTCCAGCCTGGACATTGATACAGCAAAATTTGAAGGATCGTGATCAAACACAAAAAAGTCCAACCTTCCATTTTGGTTCAGTGGACACTTTCAGCGGGCGCTTCACAACCTCCGGTGTTTTCTTCTGCTTTATTGTTATTCCAAGTCTCTCCTGCATGTAGGTTAGCAAGGGAGGGTCTCCTGTATTTAAACAAAGACATGATGAGGTTGTTTCTGAAGCCCCGAACACCTATTTTAAAATGATCCTTTACAGGAGGAATATTACCTCTCCTCCGTGTGGTTATGGGGTTGAACTGAATATCAATTTCACGAAGCATCGGGAAAAGAGTGGCAGCCATCAGTGCTTCCTCCTTAGCAACCTGATGAGAAACCACCGGTGTGTCACGCTACCTCGTTTCCCAAAAATAGTGGATTTATTTATAAAAAGCAGCAGCACACCTTGTTGTCAGCTAGGTTGAGGTACTGCAGCGCTGGAAGAGGTAAACTGGATTCTTTGCGGTTCTGCTCCCAGTTGTGTTTGCGAAAGATCTAGAGTGACCACGAGACACACAAGTTTAATGGGAGAATAACACCGAGCTACAGTGATGACACATCTAAAAGATCATGGACGAATTACCTCTGAGATTCTTGTCAAATACTGATCGGAAGGCTCCGAGTGAGCGAGTGCTGGATCGGGAGAGATATTTTTAAAGGAAATTTTGGACACACATGTAAATTACACAAAGCTGATGCCGAGTATTTACCCTCTTCCTCCTCTTCTTCAGTGGCAGTCTGCACAGGTTTGGAAAAACCCACCAGTTGCATGAACGGTATTTCAGAAATGCAGTTCCCCTGTAGGCTTAAATGCTTTAGCCTGTAATCAACAATTAAAAATGCTTAATGAGCGTTTCCACTAATTTGCTGTGCCTTGTGATAAAGGAGTCCATGTTAAGAAACACTTTTATTTAAAAGTGCAATTTCTCACTTGCACTGTGACGCACAAAGGCTGGCAATATGCATGCAGACTTTTTAAAAGTGCATTTATAATGAATATTTTGTATGCAAAAAGTCTTTACAGGAAAACTTACAGACCTCGTTAGGTTTTTAAGGCTGCTGAAGACTCCAGAGGTCAGTTCATTATCATCAAGCATCAGGACTTCTAGAGCTTGAAAGCATGTGTCTTCATCTTTAGCCGGCCTACACGTAAACGAAGAAATGCTAAATGTGTGTGATGATACAATTAAAGTGAAATAAGATTTTATGTATCTATTTTCATCAGTGACTTTAGTAAACCATTCAACCCCTCATTTACACAAATCAGCCAATCACAGGGCAGCAGCTCGCTGCCTCTAGCCATGTGGTCATGGTCAAGACAACCTGCTGAAGTTCAATACGAGCATCAGAATGTTTACAGAGGTTGACCTCAAAGAGAGAAAACATCCCTTGACTGGCAGGTCTCTGGGAGAAAGTGCTGTTGATGGTGGAGGTCAAAGGAGAATATCCAGACTGCTTCGAGCTGATAAGAAGGCAAGGGCAACTCAAATATCCACTCTTTACAACCAAGCTCCTTGGAGCTAAGAGCAGGAAAAAAAGGGCTGTAAGTTAAACAAGTTCACCAAAGCTGGACAATAGAAGACTGGAAAAAACATGAAAGCATTGATCCAACCTGCCTTGTATCAGTGGTTCAGGCAACTGCAGGTGGTGTAATGGGACATTTTCTTGGCACACTACCTTAGTCTAAATGTCACAGCCTACTTGAGTATTGCTGCAGAGCATTTTCATCCCTTTATGACCACAGTACCCATCTTGTGGTGGCTGTCTCCAACAGGATATGCCCTTTTTCCGTCTCCATCTGTACCATGGAGCTTTAAGGCAGTTCTGTAGTCAAAACACTGTCCAAACCGGTACTAGCAAGGTGTACCTAACAAAGTGGCCTGTGAGTGCAGGTTTACCGGATCAGAAGTGTGAATTTGGAGCATTTGTGCTCCCCCTTTTGGTGGGTTTGAAAACTACATTTGTGAATGTTTCAGGAATGAAATGTGTCATGAAATCATAACCAAGGTACTGGATAACTTCATGGATCATGATAATCATAACACTTAAAACATCCTGAGTTAACACAGATTTTAAAAGATAGCCATAAATTATTTCATCTTGGAATATTTTACTAATTATTTATGGGAGCTGGATTCAGCCAGTTTAATAACTACCACTATTGGATTTGTAAATTTGTAAATCAGGCAGCTTTTTATACCTAAAGTTTGTTTTGTTGTCAGTCATTTAACACAAAGCAGGGCAGAACTGTGTGTGTATGTGTGTCTGTGCGTGTGTGAGGTGGGGATAGAAGACCAAGACTACACTCGCAAATTCTGTTTTTGCCCAGTACCAATGTGCACATACTTCTGAAGTTTATTCATTTGAAGCTTTTCAGTATAAACGTACATCAAAGTGGGCAGGAAAAACGAGCAAATTCATCATCTGAACTGATGGACGGCTAACGTCTCTTGATCGTGGATGAAGCGTGGTAAAAAATAGATTGCTATTTCAGGCACTTACAGCTGAGTTGGGTCTCGGTGTGAGGAGCCGAGATTAGGAGGGAGACGCTGAAGCTGATTTGCAGTTAGATGAAGGACCTTAAGACGTGGGAGCCGACCGAGAGAATCAATAGCATCAGGTGATAAGCAGTTGTAGGACAAATCCAGAACCTGCGAGGATTAAAATGCACTGTTCGGGTGAACTTAACCACATTCAAAAGAAGAAGGAGAGAAGAAGAAGAAGAAAAATGGCACACATTTAACTCTTCCTCTGAATGTCAGCATCTCTTTTGCACATTCACAGTTACAAAGCACCGCCGAGTCATCTTACCTCGAGAAGAGGGAAGGCAGCAGCATCAAACATCAAGTCGCTAACCTCATTTAATGACAGGTTGAGTTCTCTTAGAGACACAAAACTACTGAAAGCTCCTGCAGCAAAAACAATGGACAGCCTCTGATATGACTTCAAGAAAGAGGCACACACAGCGATGCTAGAATGAAATCTGCAGGATAATGTATACATGCATATTCACCTAGAGAGAGGGAGTTAATAGATGCGTTGATGTAAGCCACGTTATCAAACACCTCGAGTTCTTCTGGTTTGACCTGTGACCCCCAGTATAAAGGAACTAATCACAAATGATTTTAACCAACAGGCTGATAAAGGTAAGTAAAAGTAGGAAAAGGTGGCTCTTACAGAGCTTAGTTTCTGCTCGCTGATGTCCAGAGAACAGAGTTCAGAGGGTCTGTCAACATGATGCAACTGGAGCTGAAAAAGAAAATAAAAAAATATCACTGTTTTTCTAACTTTTGTCAGATAAGCGTTTGTGTGTTGAATTCAAGGTTCATACCAGGAAAACTCTGTCTAATGTGACTCCATGAGAAGTATCAGCCAGCTCGCTCTCACATTTTTTATAAGCTGCTTTTGTTCTCCTACGTTGATGCCTGTATTTTTGCTCCTCTGCCTCCCTGTAAGCCGCAAGCCAGTGCCCAGCACCTATAAAAGCAAAGATGGATGACTAAAACCACGCCAGCAGGTGTTTTCACACAGGTAAACACTCTTCATTATTGGTTAGTCTCTTCATTCTGGATCTGTCAGTTCTTTTCTCACTGAGCAGTTCATCTGCTCACTAATGCAAATATCTTATGAACCAGTGACATGGCAACAACCCAGTATATTTTGGCTTAGACATGTCAAGATGACCTGCTGAAGTTTAAACTGAGGATCAGAAAGGTGATTTAAGTGGCATAATTGTTGATTCCAGATGGGCTGGTCTGATTACGGATATGTGGGCATGTATGTTCAAAATTAAACTATGATTTTTGCCAACTATGATTTCTCTCAACTAAACCCTCCATTCATACACCTGTATACAGACAGACACATACAGTTTATTAATACAGTGTAGACAGCTCAGTAGACCAAGCACAAATATTATTTAGGGTATGGCCCAAATTCCATTCATAAAAGTGCCCTTTGGTACTGCTTGAACTTCTGGGCCCCTTTTGATAAATAATATTTACTTTGTACTGTACATAGCAGTAGCTCACATTACAGCATTTACAACATTAGAGTAACCAGCTAACTTGGTTTTGGTGCTGTTCGTTTTCACTATATTTATTTCACTAATATAAGCTAGTTACAACCTTGCTTTATTTCAACATACCGTCTCGTCTTCTGTGGTGTGAAGTCCCGGCAGGGAAACAATTTACAGGATAGCTCCGCCCTGCGTCAGCAGTGGAGGACTCTGAAGTCATCCTGACTGCAGCCTAATCCATTTATCACCACACTATGTCAAAAAACTGCTACAATGTGTTTGATCCCGAGCTTCAGTGTAGCTCTCTGTATCTTAGCAACAGCACGTAAGACGAGTACCGTTTCTCCCGTCCAGCAGGGGGCAGTAACATTTCTTTTCTAAGCTAAAGGCGGAAGAGACCGGTGAGTTTAGGTGTTCAAAGATTAACTAAAATGGCAAGATAATACTCCGCCGGGCCAACCTGAGGCATTCAAAGACATTAAAAAAGCACGTTTACAACCAGGAAATGCTTTATTTTGTGTATTGTTTGGCAAATAATTACTCTCGGAAGATTTTAAGCCTGACCTGTGTTTGTTTAAACCGGCTAGTTAGCTAGCTTCTGTGTAGGGCGTCCCTGCGGAGTAAGGCCGTTTTGGAGCGGCGTAGGTAGTGACAGCCATAACTGATATGTAGTCATTATTGCGGTAGTGCTAGTAAGAAAAACACAATCAAATACGAAGGTGGATATATTCATTTGCATAAAGTCGACGTTTAGTTTAGCTGAGAAGCGAACGCGGAAGGGAGCGTAAAAGTCTCTCTCGGTCTCAGGTACGGCTTCGTTTCTGATGAACCAACAGCATCAGTGTCGTGAACATCAGAGGTCTCTGGTTTCGCGTGCGATTATAGACGTTATGATGTTCAGACAAAGATCACGAGTGGGACCTGTGAAGAGCGATCAGTGAAGGTAAGGGCTTTGCTGTGCATGCACGGTGCGAGCTGTTTGTGGCAATGCAGCGGTCTGTGTTTATAGGGAGCTGCTGGAGTGTGAACTCTTCACCGAGTCTGTGCTTTGAAGGTTGTTATAACAAGACTATAAAAGAAGCTAAGGCTCTGTCATGCATTTTAGGACATTTTATTGCTCACAGGAGCTCTGATCCACCATGGGAAACACGTCGTCGAAGGGAGACAGCGGAGAAGAACCTCCTAAAACAACTTTGTTTGAAAGGGAGCCAAGTGGGATAACATACAGAATCCCTGCTCTCGTCTATCTGAGGCACTGTCACACCTTCCTCGCCTTTGCAGAGAAGAGATCCTCACCCTGTGACAATGACGCCAAAATTTTCGTTATGAGGAGAGGCACCCTGAAAGAGGATGGATCCATGCAGGTTACCATTGCCACATGATCACTTTGATTTTCATAGTTGAAGTTAACATGATTTGTTGTCCTCTTTTCAAATGTTGCCTTTGTCATGTTTCTGGGATTTTGTTTTTTTTTCCAGTGGTCGTCCAGTCAGGAGCTGTCTTCGGTGTGCCTGCCAAACCACCGCACTATGAATCCTTGCCCGGTGTATGAAAAAAACACCAAAACGCTCTATTTGTTTTTCATCTGTGTGTGGGGCACAACCACGGAAGCGAAGCAGATCCTGACAGGTAAGAACAAGACTCGTCTTTGCTACGTCAGCAGCCGAGACGACGGCCAGACTTGGAGCCAAGTGACAGACTTAACTGACAGCGTGATCGGCGAGGCCATTCACAAGTGGGCCACATTCGCCGTGGGCCCCGGCCACGGTGTTCAGCTTGAGAACGGCCGACTGATCATCCCTGCGTACGCCTACTACATTCCTTACAGATGCTGCTCCTTCCCCATCCCTTGCACAGTCTACCCACGTGCACTGTCAGTATATAGCGAGGACTTTGGACAGACGTGGCACATAGGTAAGATGCTGCGGAAGAAGTCGTGCGAATGTGAAATGGCCGAGATCATAGACCACGAGGGCAGGAGCCACCTCTACTGCAATGCTCGTAATGCCGGGGGCCACAGGTGTGAGGCTCTCAGTGAAAACAGCGGCGTCTACTTCGACAAGCCCCACATGGCCCCGGAGCTGGTGGAAACGCGCTACGGATGTCAGGGAAGCATCATCGGCTTTCCCGCGCCGGAATTTGTCCCAAACGACGACGCGGAAAGCAAAGCCTGCGGCACGTCGCTCCTGTCACCAGACACGCAAACCTGGCTCCTCTTCATGCACCCGACGAGCAAGTCCAGAAGAAGGGACATGGGTGTGTATTTGAACCGATCCCCCCTGCACTCATCCGGATGGGACCGACCCAGAATCATCCACAGGGGGCCCAGCGGCTACTCGGACCTGGCTTACAACGGGGACAAGGATCAGTTTTCGTGCCTGATGGAGTGCGGGAAAGAGAGTGAACTCGAGCAGATTGCCTTCGTGTCGTTCTCCCTTAATGATGTCATGCAGACAGGCGGCAGGAAAGAAAAGCGTTGAGCGGTCTAACTGTGGTCGCTTTTATTTCTGTGTTAGCAAACGAAGCTCTCTGACATTCCCCCACAGCCTAAAAACAAAAAAAGGAAAAAAAATAGAGAGAAAAACAAAACAAAAAGCCACTAAATATGCTGTGCAGTAACATCCGTCTGTGTTTACTATTGTTCCACATTCTGGAGATGATAATGCATGCATGAGTCGTGTGTTTCGCTGTCTCCTTGTTTACATAAGAAAAAAAGTTATTATAAGATTAAATATTATTAATATGCAACAAGCTGCATAAGGAAGAACACTATTCTGAATAGGCTAGGTGGTTTGTTTCAGGCATGCTGTGCTGGACTGTCACTTAGGGAAAAAAACTGGCTTTGCGTGTAGCATGTTTGATAAGCACTTCATCCCCGTTTGCATCTTATTAAACTGCCAGTGTTTTCTGAGCAGCAGAGACAATTTGCCTACCTCTTTTTATTTTCATACGAAGATCATAGCAGGCCTTGGAAAGAGTTTCCTCCATGCTCAGTCTCTCCTTTTTTACACGTCTGATTCACGTATGCCTTCTCCACTGTTTGGAACGTGGCCTGTCAGTGCTTTCCCCCCCCCTGCAGGGTCACAGTCGGTGCCATAAAGGTGGCAATAAAACTGGAGGGAAAAGATGCATCCAGCTGACCAACTTCATCTAAGTTTTTCTTGGTTGTTTGTTTTTAAAACATGTGATAGATTAAGGCTACTTTTTACCGCACACATATTTTTTTATGACATTAATTTTCAAAAGCAATACAGCACTCCGTTATTGTTGATTTCCGGCGCATTGAGCATGACTTTCTTTTCCCAGCGTAAAGTGCGTCGCTATGACCAGATACATTTGGCTCGCTATTGGTTCGCTAATGACGGCATGTGACATCAGATGAGGACTCGCTATTTATGAAGCCACTAGGAATTTGCACATGCGGAATATTGTACCGTGTGACTTTAATGTCCCTCTTTGCCTGTTGTTGTGCGGCAGACAAGAAAAAAACATTTAAAATAAGAAGCCCCGAGGTGGCATTAGTTTAGGTGTGTTTCTGTTGTGGAAAGTGACAAAAAAAACCCTGCATGAAACGTGTATTTTAGTAAAATAAAGGTAACCTGTGATCACCTGGCTTCCTTTTTTTCCTTGTGACAATGTAAAGTAATTGAAGAGCTTGTAAAAGCTGACTCAGAGAAGGAAAAGTAAAAGAGATGGCTGTGTGCATGTTTTTTTTTTTTTTTTTAAGCAGTTATAAAAAACACTTCAGATGCATTCCCATGGCAGCAAACAGAGGCTGAAGGGCTCCAGCTCGCTGAAATGATGTCGAGGACTTCTGTTGTGAAGCGGCCTGTGGGGAGTTTAATGTGATTCAGCAGATGTGCAAACAGAGGGGGAGGAATTAAGGACAAGCGGGAGCTCTTTATTTCCCCCTCCAGTCTCCCAACTTTCCTAAGTAATACATTTCTACTAATATGGGAGTTATTTATATATATATATATATATATGCGCACTTGCATGACCTGAAAGCCAAACACGTGAAACTACAGCAATAAAAAGGAAGTCCACTGTAGCTTTAGTCCAATTCATCCATTTATTGTATGGTAGCAGGTGGGGTCAGATTAAAGGAGTCGAGATTTAACTGGCTTGGCACAGTGGAGACAGCATACATTAGGAGGATGAGGGTTGTATGTGTCCTTGAAGCAAACGATCTGCATGGGCTCTTTTTGAAATGTGCGAAGGAGGTTATTCTATTGCAATAAGTGCATGTGAAACGCTGTCCTGTCCTTGTCTTGGCGAGCCCACTGCAATAACTACAAAGTGTTCAAATTATCAGCAAAGATCCAAATCAACATTATTTTAGCTTGTCTTCTTGTTTCTGACTTCCATATGGTGTCTGTGTAAAACAAATCTTTAAAAACGGTCCCTAAATTAATAAGAACAAAAATGATTTTATGTCTTAGATACTGCAGGGCACTGTAGTATTATCAAATGTTTCTACTTCAAACAGCGTATAGTTCTTCTTTCTGAATATTTTAAGCAGCAGATTGTTGCACATTTTCATGCTGTGCTAAGTAGCAGGAAGCCATCCTTATTGTAACAAAGAGATATCACCCAGTGGTCTGTAACACAGCAATAACCTTCATGAGGATTTGGCTGCAGAGGCGAGCCTTACGAGAAACACTGAGCTGGGCTCATTCTCAGCACTCTGATGGAGGCTGAAGGATTTCAGGCTCTTTATTGACACAAATGCAGTAAATGTAGTCAGTGCACGAGTGCTCAGCTCGTGCTGACATGGGTTGCTTTGCTCCACTGCATTATTACATTTGTATTAGGATTTTAGTCAACACAGCAGCAGCTACAGGTTACCTGGGATTTCATCACCGGGTCTGACCTCTAATATAATCGGCTCACTGTAGGACCAAAACAACAGCATCTGGGTAAGGTATGAAATGTGCTTTATTAGATGTGGGGGCTTGTAGATCTCCAATGTGCTTCTGAGCATCTTTCTCTCTGTTTTTTCTTCTTTCTTTATAACCTTATCCCCAACTTGTTTCACCGCACAGAGGATGAATCACGTGGCAAGACCTGTTTCCTTCTTCTGTGTTGGCGGTGAGGACGTCAATATTTTTCAGCACATGTGTTTCATCTGTCGCTCTGAGGGCACCT